TGCAATGTATACCAGGTCCTTTAAAGGTCATTGGTCAAGAAAGCGTCAATAACATCTTGCGGAGAAAAGCTTCACAAAAGGCAGATTTGAAATCAGCGTTTCGAGCGACATTCCGTCCTATTCTATATCGCCACTTCGATCATGTATCCTTCCTTTGGATGAAAGTTGATTTAATATATAACGCGAGGAGAAAACTACCAATATCCTCAAATATGGTGCATGTTCTCATGCTTCATTTTAGGGTACGATAGAATGAGACCAAAGAAAGATTGCGGTGCATACGAGTTACTACTAAGGTTACGATCTTGAGCGAATCTATAAATACGATAATCCACAACAACAGTTATGCGTCAATAGTGTGAATTAACTACCATTACAATAAGCGTGAAGAAAATAAACGCAGACGTCACCTTCCCGTGGTCGCGCTTAAGAAATTTCAACATATGATCAAGACAGTCGCTCTCATCACTATTACCTGTTAGAGTAAAATGGAAAAGATATAAGTATTTTCAACAAATGAGATGGTTGATCTGAGAGAGTTAAATCAGAACAGTTGCTCTGCGATACAGATATTATAGCAATTACTAATGTGGATGACTTACTGTGGTTCCACATGAACCTCCAAGGAAGACATCATACATAGGCACGCTGGATATGGGGGCCTCTTCAGCATGAACTGTACCCGAAACGCGACAGTATTCGCTACGCATACTCCTAAAAACGAAGGAAATTTAATGAGTCAGAAAAAGAGCAGCAAATTGAGATTTGTTAGATTTTGAAGTCTTTGTTGTACCATACCTATGAGCCGTCAATGTTTACACGATAAATCCAAACATCAAATATACCTCTCTTAGAAAAGAGCTTCTTTTACATCAACAGTCGCTAATAATTATATCTTTCCTAACACTAATTCACAAGATAGAAATTGAACTGCGGCCGCAAACAAGTTTATTCCAGAAGTAAACAGAGCTAGCATTCAGGCTAATGAGGGATGACGATGAAACAACGGTAAGGTCGACACCTTCAGCTTTTTAACAAAACCTAGTCATAATTTTTCCAAAGCCCCTTCAGCA